TTGCAGATTATTCACACCAGGGAAACTATTCGGTATTTACACATGTGTGACTTATTTATTTCACTTAGGAGTATATCTTCAATATGTATCCATTTTCCTATGAATGAATCTATTTTCTCATTCTTTATGGCTGAGTAATATTCCATTTTATAGAAAAACCACATCTTCTTTATCCAGTTTCCAACGGATGGGCAAATGGGCTGTTTCCAAGATTTAGCTATTACAAACTGTGCCGCTATAAACATGGGTGCACATACTTCTCTGTGATATGATTCTTTTAGTTCTCTCGGAAAGATACCCAGCAGAGGGATGGCTGGATCAAATAGAAAAATATTCACTTTTTCCCTGCCATCTCCAAGAAAAGAGGATATTTCCTGCTCCTTGACCCTGGGCTTGACCAAGTACCTTACTTTGGCCAAAGGGATATTAGCAAACATCATGAGAGCAGGGGCTTACAACTTGACTCTGTGGCTGGACTTGCCCTCTTATAACTCTCTGCCATCACCATAAGAACATGGCAGCCAACAATCCAAGGATTAGGGGTATGCAATCAAGCATGCAGTATAAAGTCACCCAGTTGATCACAGCTTGTGTCAGTCAAATCCCAGGTGATCTTTAGATACACAACAAAATAAATGCTCGCTGTTGTAAGTCATAGTGATATTGTGGTTGTTATTCAGCAATAGCTGATTAATATAATGCAATAAGGACTCAGTAAGTACTATAGAACACTTAAAGATTCTTCTCAATCTGATGCTTTCCATGGCATTTAACACTATTTACTAAAACCCATCTAGCTAGCCCCTGAGCTAGGTGCAGAAGATAGAGATTAATCTTACATAGGCTCCCCCTCTCTCCAGAGAGAACTCCCATCTAGTAAGAAAAAGAAACTAAGCAAATGATCATAAAACAACACAATAAAGTAGGATGAGGGTTTAACTTAACCTAGAGGTGTTAAGGGACGCTTCACATTAGAAAGTATGAAGGGTGAAAAGTCATTCACCAAGTAGAGAAGATTAAAAGACACTAAGTAGGCACTTGTGTACCAAAACATTAAATGTTATGATGTGTCAGAGTTCAAATGTTAGTCACAGCTGAAGCTTTTCATGGTTTTGGTTCAGACAGAATGAAGGTAAGTGCTGGTCCATTAATTTTTACAATACTAAGAATCACTTAAGTCATGTCACAGAGTATCAAAAGATAGTGTTTACCCAAACAAGTTTGCGTTTGTAGCCATATGGGAGGTAGGGGAATGAAAATGAATCCCATACTTTAAATGCTTGGGACCACTAGTGGATTCTTTGGGATTTTGTAATACTTTTATAACAGTATATCTTGGAAACATGACCCAAGTCTATACAAATTCGTCTGCTTCATAAACACCTTACACACATAGCCTGAAAATAATTCTGTACATTTGGTGCACCTGCATTTTGACTGCCACTAGTGCCATGAGGCCTAGTGTAGAATGTTCCACTTGTGGCATCCTGTCAGCACTAAAAAAGTTTCAAGTTTTGGAGCATTTCAGATTTTGGATTTTCAGACTAGGGATACTCAATATAAGACTTAGTTAAAGACCTTATTTATTACTTAATAATTCTAAGAGATACTTGGCATAAACGTGACAATTATATATGCGAATATTCATTTCGCTGTCCTATATTACCATTTATAACTTTAATAACAAAACCTAATCATTAATGCCCTGGGAAAACTGTCGGTGCATCAGCAAAAAAATGATCTTACTTAACGCTGAGTTATCTCGTAATAGCTAGCACTAAAAGACCGCTGTATACACCGACCCGAAAAAACTGCAAACAAAATGATTCCAAAAGTACTAAAAGCACAATTTCAAGTAAGTTGGCAAGAGCTAGGGAAACTCTTCGCCGAATGGTCAGAAGTGGAAAGTGTACCCAAAAGTTTTAGGAAATCTGAGGCAGAAGCATAATACTGGGGTTTCACTTCAAGCAGTTTGGAGAATGTCAGTGAGCGCCAATCAGAACTTCCGTCAAACCTACCCAGGAGGGAAATCATCAGTAACCACGCCAATTTTGAAGTACTAGAAGCAGTCGTTGAACCAACCAACACTCCGACTCGCTCACCTAGGACACCGAGTAATCCCGCTGATCGCCTCAAACTACAAAACAAACGTTTGGCTTTCACTTTCTAGTGATAAGAGGAAACAGTGTAGCTCTTCTTACTCCCCGCAAGCCGCGCTATTCGCAGTTTTCCCGGTCCTATCACAGTCAACTACGCGGATCTCAGAAAGGCTTAGGGCCAGAGGGTGGAGACTAGGAATTGGTAACTAGAATCAGGCTGGGAATTAAGAAGCAAGAAGCAGCCCCGGGAAGGTGGCAAAACAGAAGTGGGAAAGAACAGCAGCACGTGGGGAGCTGCGGTCCCAGCGATCTCCCCAGACAAATTTCTCGCAGGGATCTTCTACTTCGATCTGAGTTTCCAAGGAGCTCGGCTATGGCCGTCCCGCTCCCCGCCCAATCCAAGAGAGTCCTCCTGTTTGGTGGGATCCTAATATGAAACAAGGGGCTGCTTTTCTTGTGGCTCCCGCCAAACTGAGAAGGAACTCCCCAGGGTTCCAAGTAAAGAGAGCGACGACCCGAAACGCAGCCTGGTACCTGAGAGGGGAGTGGCCAGAGGCAAAGGTGAGGCGAGAGGGTTCTCCCTTACCTGTCGCAGAAGCTTCCACCGGGCGGCCCCCAGGGACGCCGAGACTGCGGGTCCCCGAGTGGCGCCGCCAAAGGTCGGACCCTCTCCCTCGGCTAATTCTGTCTCTCCCACCTTGTAGTCCGCGACTCGAGACTCCATCCCAACCGAGCCGTCTACTAGTAGAGATGCCGCCGAAACAGCTCTCCCCTATCAGGACCTGCCAACTTCTTCCCTGTCAGGACCTGTGGCGCCTGCTCTCCCGCCTACGGCTCTTGCGCCCGCCCTCCCCGAATTCCGCATTTCCGCTATTCGCATCTCCTTGGCAACCAAGGCAGCGCTGTCTCGCGTCACTGCACCATTTTGCTGGAGGCCATCTTGAGTGAGGGCAGACCGGAGAACGAGGAAGCTGTGGTAGAGCTAATGGGATGCTGTCACCCTTCGTTTTCGCCTTTCCAGCTTCGTCTCGAGCTCAAAAGACTGGAAAAGACCCTAAAATATTACATCTTTGAGGACTAAAGAATTCGCGTGAGGGGGGGGGGGGACATTGTTGACCACAATAAAGATGGCGAAATGTGCTTAGTATTCGTAGTAGTTTGGCGTTACGTAGATTGGCGTGCTGCAAACCAGCTCTGGGAGGCTCTGGGTAGGTTGTGGCTTTGCTGGGTGCAGACCGTAGACTTAAGGTGAACGTGGTGGCGGTGGTTTTCGCTTCTACCTGAGAGCTTCGGCCTTTTCTGCCTTCCTTCACTCGCTTGTGTCCAAAGCCGGGCTGACTCATCTTGCGTACGTATGAGGGGTGGGTGCTGGGGTCTCTTACCTAGTCTTTTTTCTCCCTCCATTCCCTGCTCCTTTTTGATCCATGTTTCTTGACTGCGTGTAACCACACTTCCTCTCCCAAGGCGACTTTTACATTCCTAACATGGAGAATTGCACGAGGAAAATGATTAGGTTGTGGGAACGCCTATTTATCTACTCCAACCCATCCTTATCCTTGCATACTGTCTTCCCTCTGCGGGTGGAAGACGGATGGTTTGAGGCTGTGGGAACAGACATGATGATTTACGGGGCCTTTTTTGTTAGTGTGGGTTGCAGCTCTTCTATTCATTCCTCCGTTGTTTTGCTGCGACATAGGAGATTAAAGGGAGAAAGGGCGTTGTAGCCGATCAGATCGTAGTACGCAGTATTCTACCTGTGTTACCCAAGGCTATTTTACAGGAGAATTCTATGATTACATTCAACAGGATGCAACATACCTAGATTATTCTTAATTAGTCTAGAAATTTTAGCTACCTTCTGTTGAGTGATTACTACGTGCTAGGCTCTGTATTAAGGCCTCTGATTAAGACTAAAATGCCTCGTTTTAGTCTCAAGCAGTAACGACGTCAGAAGACAAATGATGTCATTTTAGTTTTGCAGAGGAAGACACAGAAACAGTTAAGTGCAGGGTTCACATCTGACTATTACCTAGGTATCAGGATTAAAAAGAACTTACTTCCCCGGTACCGGAAGAAATAAATAAATAACTTACTTGTGCACCTTGCAGTCATTTTTGTTTTTTCAAGAGCTGCATACTCTTTTTAACATTAAAGTGTAATGGCTTAGGCTAGGAAATTTAGCTTAGTGGTTCCGCTGCCTGAATCGCAAACACAAAGTCTCGAGTTCGATCCCCGGTATCCAAAACAAAAGTGTAAGGGCATACATGTATATCTTAAGATTTGGAGTCAAATCAGACTGGGCCTTTTGCATTGGTACTTAGTATTCAAGTGACTTATGGCAGTTGCTTGAACCACCTAGAGCCACAGTTTGTTCTCTTGTAAAATAAATATTATGTAGCTGCTTTCTCCAGTCCACATGAAATATAATTAGACAAGTAGATAAAAAAGCCGCTGACACACAGGCAACCCGCAACAAATATTAATCTATTTGCATGTCTTTAATAAGACTCTTCAGTGTACCCTCCTCATAAGTACCAAAGATAGCTTCAGAATTATGTAAGATCAAACCCATTTTGCCTTTGAAGCCCTTAGAGTGACCGAAATTTCTCATTAAATCTATGTATCTATTTGCAGAATTTTACTGTTGTTTTCTGTTTTAGTTTGCCCTTTTGTGTACCAGAATGAGTGCCACATAATTTGAGCATAATAAAATTGATTTTACATATGGTACTTTTAAGTCACCTCAGCTGAGAAGTATGATTTGAGACAAACTTTAACTTATACAAGTTTTAAATTTATTTAATCTATCAGCTTCTTGCAGGTGTTCATCACCTAAGGGGTGCGTGGCCCTAAAGGGGAAAAGTAAGATTTAGTAACCTTAGATACTAATTGTATAATAACACATCCGAAATCATTCATGTCCAGGCAGCCCCAAGGGGAGCATAAACCAGGGACTGATATCATGCAACAGAAGACCAAATTATTTCTCCGGGCTTTGAAGTATAGTATTCCTCACCTTGGGAAATGCATGCAGAAACAGCATTTGAATCATTATAACTTCGCTGATCATTATTACAATACAATAAAATTGAAAAAATATCACCTAACCAAGTGTCTGCAGAATAAACCCAAGATATCAGAGTTAGCAAGAAACATTCCAAGTCGGAGCTTCTCAAGTAAGGTATGGACTATTTAAGTTAACCTATTTGTAGGTGATTAAGATTAATGTTTAAAGATAAAGATGGATAGGATATCAGAACTACTAATTTTCTCAATTCTAACTTGACTTTAAAATTTTTCAGGCTCAATTATTTACAATCAAATATAAGTTTAAAAAGATATACATTTCTACACAGTATAATGTAATACATAGAAATTAGATTTTTAAGATGACTCACATCAGGACTTTCTTCATATGCCTATCAGTGTGTTTCATAGTATAATTCACCTTTGTAAAAATCCCTAAAATGTCACATTACAGCTCTTAATAAAACCTAAACATGTGTTAGTAGTTTTATGAGTCCCAAGTTAGTAAACTTCAATTAACTTCAATAAAGTTTATGTAATTTTGTTTTTTAATTTAAAAAAAGGTAAAATGGCCTTGCATTTTTTATTGTGTCCTTCAAGAAGGTATTCAACTGTTACACTTTTGCCAGACCCCATACTGTGGATTTGAATACCTTAGGTGATCTGATTGCTCTTATGTAGAGATGGTCACAGTCTACACCTGTTGCCCATATGTAATTATTAATTGTCCTCTTTCCTCTGAAAAATGTTCCGATTAAGATGTCAAGTTATATGGTCATCCTGCTTATTTGTAATTAAGTTATTTATGCTGCTGCCTCTGACCAACATCCTCTACTTTTTACTCATGTTCCTTAGGTTCCTTAAATTATATTTGAGGGTAATATTCTTGTAATATGTTAGCATATTTTATTATTTTAATTTCTGATGATGTTTTGTTGCATACTAATTTTTCTCTTCATCTGTTTCAGCTCCTCTTGTGATAAAATGTACATAACATAGACTTTTGTCACTTTAGCCATTTCTAGGTGTACAATTCAGAGGCATGATTAATTATGTTCATAATGTTGCATATCTCTTACCTCTATTTCCAGAACCCTGTCATCACAACCAGAAATGTACCCATTAAGCAGTCCATAACTTCCCACTCTCCGTTTCCCTCAGCCCCCAGGACCCTAATCTATTTTCCGTCTTTATGAATTTGCCTATTCTAGATATTTCATATAAATAGAACCCTATAATATATTCTTATATGCTTGTTTTATTAATTAATAGTAATGTTTACAAGGTTCATCTGTATCATGGCATATATGAGAATTTCATTCCTTTTTTATAGGAGTAATATTCTATTGTATGTCTAAATCACATTTTTGGGGCCCCTGTATTTGTTAATGAACACTTGCTTGGGCAGTTTGTTGTATAGAAACTACCTTTTCTTATCCTATTTTACCCAATTTTAGATTCTAGTTTTTATTCCAGGCTCATACCTAATTGATATATGTGTTACTCTTGCTTTTAACTTTTTATGTTAGTCCTCTGTTTTCCCTGGACTTTCAATCTTTATATTTTTAGTTTTTTAAGTTAGTTCCCTTCTTACAATATCTTGGCTTTGTTTGCCACTGTGTTTCTTTACACAATTAGAAAATCTTCATGCTTTCCTTTTATTGCATCTTCTCTTTCACACCTAGGTTTATCCTGCTGTATAATAAAAGTATTTTGCCTACTGAACTAAATTTTGGATCTTTAGATTGTTTTATTTTGCATTATGTTTAGAACACTTTGTACTTAATTTATAAATAGTAGGCAGGAATTACTGTTGGGGTGGCAGCTGTGAGATTAGTTCTCATCCTAAATAGGAAGTTGACTATTTTTTCCCTCCATTTGTCCCAAAACAAGTTCTCAATTCTCTCCCAGTATCTAAAAACTGGGTGGGGGATTTAACTCAATGGTGCCACCACCTGCCTCACAAGCACAAGGTCCTGAGCTTGATCCCAAGTACAAATAAATAAATATATATATAATCTGATTCAGCAACTTCAAGAACATTAGCTCTTCCAGGAAATTTTTTACCTGCTACAGTAAGCCTGCTTTTACATATCATATATTAACCATCCCTCTGTGATATAAAAGCTGTAGACTTTTTATGATCACAGAGACCTGAGAAGCTCTATAAAGAGTTCACTGTAACTGTGCAGATATTCTAGATAAGTATACATTTCCCACTGTGTATGGTGGCCCACGCCTATAATCCTAGAACTAGACAGGCTGAGGTAGGAAGATCATTGTGAGTTTGAGGCCAGCCTGGGCTATATACATTGTGAGATCCTATCTTGAAATACCAAAAAACAACAACAACAAAAAAGGAACATACATTTCCTTCTTTCAGCAGGCACCTAGAATACCAACTTTGTCAACTCTTATAGATTACAGTAAAGTAGAAAAAGTAGTACTTTTAGGCAAATTAAAATATACCTGTAATGTAAAGACCTGTTCTCCTTATGAGTAAAGAACAGGAGAAGATGTAACACATAGTATTGAGGCTACAAGGAGGATCTAGCCGTGACAATGTGACTGTGAACTATTCAGACTCTTTCTTACTGCAAAAACTGGGGAAGGGGGCTATCTTCGAGTTTTCTAAATGTCCTGAGTACTAAAATTTGATGATTCTATACCCCTACTTGAGAGCTCCAGTGGTGCAGTCAGTTAGCATTACTTATACCTACCCCTGCCTGTTATACTCTTAGCAAAAAATCATCTGTCAGTGGGGTTTTTAGTGCCAACTTCTGCAGTAGACGTATGTATACATCAGAAATCCTGGGGAGCTTTATTGAAATCAGATTCCTGATCGGGCCCTATACCTGCTGAATCAGAATCTTTGTGGTTGAAGCTTGAGGATGTTTGGGGGTTTTTTGGGGGTGGGGGTTGGTACTGGGGATTGAACTCAGGACCTTGAACTTGCAAGGCAGACGGTGGCATCACTGAGTTAAATCCCTGGCCCTGAGTATCTGTTAAAAGTTTCTCAGGTAATCCTGAAACCCCCAGCCTGCTACTGGCAGTATACCCTAGATTTCCATTTCACATTAGCCAAGTGGTGAGATGAATGTATTCCACACACTGACAATCTAGCTAGTGATTTTCACAGACTGGCATTACACCACACACTACATTGCATCATCTTCATATCATCCCACATTGCTGTGCCTACAAAATAATTCAACACAATACAAAAAGTCAAGTGAGAGTGGGGTCTAAATCTTTGGTATAATGTGTCATTCACAGGAAGGAACATTTAGAAGAAATTTGGCAGTCAGATTCAGTAGCCAGAGATGAGCCAAAAGATGTAGAACGGGCCAGACCAGGTAGTTTCTTTAATCTTGTGAGAAATATGAGCTGCATCCTGAAAGCATGCGAATGCCATTGAAAAATGTAGTTGGAATCAGATTTGAATTTTAGAATAATCACTGCAACAGAATTGCAGAGAACAGATTGGAAGTAGGAAGCCTTAATCTGGATTCTAATACTTTTTTTCTTTTTTAACTGAGGGAAAGGGAACAAAACTTGACCTAAATTGACAGAAATATTATAATCTGTATTTAACCCACATGACAGATGGTTAACTCTAAAACCTTATTGTCTTTGATTACAGGATGATACCAGCAATGTTAATGTTCAAATAAATTTTAGACACCCCTGCACCATTGTTATGCCTCATACAGGCATATTTAACAGTCACATGTGTGGCCTTACTGTTACTATCTTTTAAGGATAAACAAGAGGGAGGAATAAGTTATAACGCATTGCTAAAGTGGAAATTTCAATGACAATTGGATACATGAGTCTGGAATTTGGCAAGGAATCGTTATGAATAAGTAATAGTTATTACATAGTTTTAAACATTCTCCCAGAAACAGGTTTGTGATCCACTTTGAGTTTTTTGTGTATGGTGTGAGAGATAGGAGTCCGCTTTATTATTTTACTTATGGAAATCCAGTTATCTCAGCATCATTTCTTGAAAACTGTTTTTGTGGAAAGTCAGCAGACCATAAAATGCCAGGCTTATAAAGCTTCAAAGTGTAGTATTATGTATATCTCTTTGTACATTTGTGTTAATCTTTCTCTCGTGTCTATACTTAGAATTGGAATTCCTGATTGTGTACATATCCTGACATATAGTTTGATCATATTAACTTCCAAATTGATAGTCCTAATATACATTCAAGCTGGGAATATAGATGAGCTATATCTCTGTATCTTGAATAACTTTGAAATTAGCAGACTTTTTCCTTTGTGCCCTTCTGACAGTGGAATGTCAGTGTTGTTAAATTTTCAATGACCTGATTAACAGTCCTTTTTTCTTATTCTTATTGAGCTTATTGGAGGGTGTAGCAAATAAATAGAGAAATATGAGAAAATATACAATATGTCCGAAGTATAGTGAAAAATCAAGGAAGGACAGATAAGGAATGAACAGGCAACAGGATAGGGCGGGTTATTTTATTAGAATGGTTAAGGAAGTCCTAGCTGAGAAGGTGGCATCTGAGCACTATGTTAAAGGAGGTGTTTGACAACAGTATAACAAGTCCTAACACACGGAGGTGGGAGCAAGCCTGACAGGTTCGGGAAATACCAAGGAGACCTGTGTCGTTCATGTGGGCCAAGTGCACACAGCTGAAGCACAGTACAGGTTGAGCATCCCCATCCTGGATATTTGTAATAGTATGGAATCTTTTGGAGCATTTTAGATCTGCCAGTTAGGGATGACCCACCAGTAGAATCTGTGCAAATTTTCCAAAACTTGGAAAATCTTTGAAATCCAAGATACTCCTCATCACAAACATGTTGGATAAGCATTGTTCACCCTATAGTAGCCAAGATAAGCAAAGTAACAAGGCAGGCTCCATTAGGACCTGTAAGGATTCTTGCTTCTCCTCTTGAGTAAGATGGAAACCACTGGAGAGTGGAAGATGATTTAATCTCAGTTGGATGCATTCAAGCTCCTTTGTTGAAAATAGACTGCAAAGCAGAGAGCCCTTAAGGTTTTGCAGTAATCCAAGGAAGAGATGATGAACATGCCACCAGGTATGTATTACAAGTGTAAATATTAGAAGCAGTCAGATCTACATAGATCTTGAAAATTGAATTGACAGGATTTAGCAG